TCTAATATTTTAACTCTACCATCTGTTTAAATATAAAATCATATGGTAAAAAGACTCATTCACTAATTTTAAAAAAGTATTTTGATGTTGAAACTGACACATAGTCTAAAAAAGATAAGAGCTTTTATTTTTTTGTTAGACCTAAATCTTCCAAACCCAAAATTGCACATTCAACAAGTAGCTCAATACAATATTCATAATTTATTTTGAAAGCTATAATTTCATAATATTCCAATCAATATTGTTGTATACAAATACAAAGAGGGACGACCTCAAGAAGAGAAACATAGAAAAATAAAAAACCTCAGATTGAAGGTTCGAACAAAACCCAGATAAAAATTGTCAAAAAAAATAATTTGAAAATGCACATAACCATATAAGAACAGAAAAAGAATGAAATACCAAACATGCAATCACAATAACAACACCAAAGGGTCTTTCAAGAAGAAACTTTCACTTACCCAAAAATATATATACCTGAGAGTTCAGTCAAGACTTAGAATCAGCAAATAACAACACTTACACGACACAATCTGTACGAATTCCTGTAAATATTCAAATGGGTCAAAGAAATTTGAGATGAAATATGAGAATACAAAGGTAAAAATATTAAAATAATAATTATTGCTAGCTGCATGTTAAAAGTTTTGCCACCTAGAATCAGTATAAAAGACCCCAAATATAAAATTTTCCCTTCATTCTTGTTGTATTTGGAAAATCCTAAGAAAATCCAACATACTTTCGTATAACCCAAAAGAAAAATAAAAGTATTAGGGATTTGAACACATACATGATTTGAGCTTTTGGGTCAGTAACTAGAAGCAGAGAAACGGAGCAGCCAACATAGTTCTTCTTTTAATTAGAAGTTGAGAAATGGAGAGCATCTATATGAGATTCACATTTTCTGAATTTATGGATTTTGAGCAGAGTAGGGGAAAGCAATGATTTTTAGAAGAGAGGGGGTTTCTAGTGAGAGGGACAATAAAATTGAGAAATGGAGGGGAAAGCAACAATTTTGGTCATTTAAGGCCTTATATTCTTTTAATTTTTATGTGTTGGCCTCTTTTCTTTTCTTTTTTCATTTAAAATTAAAATAACTAAGTAATAGAGGTGACCCTGTCGCTCCAAAATATAATTAGCGGCGACATTTTTAAAGTCGCCACAAAATTCGTGGAGCCAAAATTTTATTCTCGAGGTAATGAAATATTTCAACCTTTAGTTGCACATATCAGAGGCGACCTAATAAAGTCGCTACTAAATATTGTCATTTTTAGCAACATTTAAAGTCGCCGCTAAAACTATAATTTTTACTGCAACCAACTGGGTCGCAATAATACGTCGCCACAATAAGTCCAGTTTCTTGTAGTGATCCGATATCATAATCTCAAAATATGATAAAATGAGTTTAAAGTCCCAAAAATGACAACTTTAAGGTCTGCCCAGTGATACCCTTCACGAACGCGGTCCAAGCCTCGCATTCGTGAAGCACAACCTAGCACTGGCCAAAAAATACCCTTCTTGAACGCGGTCTGTCATCCGTGAACGTGATGCAGAAACGACCACTGGCCTATGCGAACGCGGTGCCCATCCCACGGACGAGAAGGCCAAATGCATGTCGACCCTAGCATGCCTTCCTTCTACGCGAATGCGATGCCCTGGTCGCAAACGCCTAGACCACTACTCACCAAGCTTCGCAAACGCGACACAACGATCACATACGCGAAGAGCAAAATGACACTGCCAAAAAACAGCCTTCGCGTTCGCGAAGCACACTAGACATCAGCAACTTTTGCAGTTCCGAACTTCACCAAATGGTCCGAAATTCATCTAAAACATTTTCGAGCCCCACTGGACCCCGTCCAATCATAACAACAAGTCCCAAAATACAATACGGACTTACTCGATGTCTCAAATCACACAAACTAACATCAAAAATATAAATCGCACCTCAATTCAAGCTTATTAAACTAATCAATTTCCAACTTCCAAAACTCATGACGAACTGCGTCTAACAAATTCGGAATAACCCCAAATATTTCACACAAGTCCCAAATAATATAACAAACCTACTCCAACTCTCAAAATAATAATCCAAACCTGATAACATCAAAGTCAACTCCCGGTCAAACCTATGAACCTTTTAAACCCTCAAATTTCCTACTTTCGCCAAAAAGAACTAAATCAACCTAGGAACCTCAAATAAATCCGGACATACGCCTAAGTCCAAAATCACCATACGAACCTATTAGAACCACCAAAATATCATTCCGGGATCGTTTATACGAAAGTCAAACCTCAATCAACTCTTATATCTTGAGCTTCCAACCTTGGAACTAAGTGTTCCAATTCACTCCAATACTTCCCCGAAACTAAACCAACCATCCCCCAAAACAACAAAGAAGCATATGAAAAATATTAAATAGTAAAACGGGGCTCAAATACACAAAACGATCGGCGAGATTGTTATAAAAATTATTCCTAGTTAGCCATTTTTAACCTATAGCGTTTTGTTTGGCATTCCTAGTACAAGCTTATACCTTATTTTGTTCTTGATTGAAGTATTTTGATCCTTTTACCTCTTAAAGTACTTGAATTGTAAGTGAGCACTAGAAAGAAGTAAGGAGGAACTTGGAGTAGCTTTTGAGTGAAACCAATGAAAGGAAGAAATGTGCACTTGTATTTTAAGGTAAAACACCACTAGCGGGATTGCATAGTACAAGAAAAATATTACTCCCTCTGTTTCAAATTAGATGAGGTACTTTCCTTTTTAGTTTGTTCCAAAATAAATGACACATTTCTAAAGTTGAAAATAATTCAACTTTAAACTCTTCATTTTACCCATTTTACCCTTAATAAAAAACTTTTATAACCACACAAATGTCATGACCCCATAAATCTTTTACCCCTTAAGCTTTTAAGATCACAAGTTTCAAAAGTCTTCTTTTTTTTCTTAAACTCCATGCCGAGTCAAACTACCTCATATAAATTGAAACGGAGGGAGCAGAAAATTTTATTTGAGAAGAAAAAGGACAAGAAAGTCCTAGTCAAATCGTTAATGATAGATCCCTATAGACGAACTACTTTAATTCAAATCTTCTCTCTTTTACCTTTTCTAGTGATAGATAGTAAGGCCTAGGACTTCATTCCTTAGATTTGTTGAATTTACTTTGTCTTCACGAATTGGATTCAAACAAATATCTTTGTGTGGCTTTCTTTTTAATCGATCGTGAGGGGTTTCCACTTTATTCCTCAGGTAGAGTGAAATCGCTAGGCTCCCCTAACGCCTTTTTTCAGTGATATATTTTGCCTTAGCACTAACGAAGTAGAAGTTACTTATTAAGTTGAAGTGGAGTGTTTCCATTCTCGATTCAATTAAATTTGTTCTCGGTAAAGCCCGATCAGATCCTGCTTGAGCGGTAGAGAGAAATCCTGATCGTGCAATTGCATCAATATAATAAGATAGATGACGGAATCGCTCCCTAGCTTTGTACACCTCAATAAAGAATGAATAGGTGCCCAAATGCAAAAATTACGATAGAAATAAAGATTGAAAATAAAGAATAAGATTATCAACATAAACTATAAGATAAACTTGATTTACTGTCAATGGATATTTTATATGATGTGATATTGCTAGTTTCATCTGCTAGTAAAACAAACTGCGATGAATAAATCCTTCTTAACCAAGGAATGTTTGTTGGACACCAATCCATTATCTAGTTCCAGCTAGTTCTCATCATTGTCTTTGTTTGCGTAGCCTCATCATCAGTGGTGTGACATGCAGCTAAACAGGTTTGCTTTCGTAAGTATGATTTACTAGGGGATAATGTAGGAAGATGCTTGTGTATATAAAAATAAATGGTGATTGAGCTTTTTAATTCCTATAATATATCGATGATTTCTTATCAAGGTTCAACTTTGAATTCGCATCTCGTAACTTTATTTATTCATCCATAGCATCATAGAGGCTCTATAAATAAAATACAATACAAGATTATTTTGGATTATGGGTACTCACATGGCAAATGCATGGATATTTTATCTCATGTCTCAAGTTATGATTGTCATGCTTTAATTAAAATGACAATTACTTATTGTTCAATAATTAGATATTTAGTATGTCTTATAGGTTGGCTCAACCCAGGTGGCAGGTAGCGGGCGCCGATCAAGTCTCATCCTATTTTAGGGCGGGGTAATCTAATTTGTTGTGTTTTCTTCTGAAGAAACTGAGTATACGTGGAAGGTTATGATTGAGGTTGTTTCTCCCTCATTATCCAGTGGGCTCTCTGTCGACCTTCAATGGTCTTAGGTGGGGAAGATGTTAGAGGGTCTCATGGTGCGCAAGTAACGAATATGGGTTAGAGAACAAAAGGAGGAGAAGAATATCTTATGGCCCAGCCAAATGACAAGTATAGCCTTGATTAGAAATTTGATGACACCAAACAGACACATTGAAACCTTCGCTCTAATAGAAAAATGTTTATTCAAAATAAAAAACTCAAAAGAAATCAATTTGTTTAACCAAATAACTACCAAATTGTCAAAAAGTCGAACTCATACCTAAGAACCTTCTGCCTCTCGTACCTTCACATTTTCAGTTTTAATAGCTGCATACTTTGTTATTGTTTCTTTTCTAATTTTTCCTAAATTTGTTGGTGGTTGCTCATCTAATTGAAGGAAAAAAGGAGGAAAAATAGTCAATGAATAGATGTAAATGTACCTAATGTATTTGCACTGTTTATAATTTGCTAGATAAAATCAAACTAGTTTGAATTTCTAAGGTCATGAAATTGGTTAGTCTTCTCTTTTCTTTTCAAGAATGTCATAGTTATTAACTTTGATCCAAATAACATTGGAAGAGAGTGCATAATTTTTTTCTGTAAATATAAGTTATACCATTACTAAAGGTTTGTACTCTCATCTAGATTGTTATAGTTGGTAATTAATTCTTTTCGGTTAATAATTTGTATATTCAATCTGAAAAGCCGAATAATACGAACCAAAACTATTTGGACCATGTAAATGACAATATGGCTATGTTCAAAATAGTGAGAGACCCGCCACCTCTAAATTTGGGATTCGCAGATACACATGATTAACTTATAAATTAGAATGCAATAACCACACCTGAAAAAAAATAATTTAGCTAGACCTATAGAATGACTGAATTTTAGTTGAACCTAACCAATAGAATGACTGAATTTTAGTTGAACCTAATGTCATAGGCCTTAATTCCATTATCTCCTAAAATCCCAAAATGCCTCTCAAACTCCTCCCCACTCTTTTTATTCTCATCAAACAAATCAAACAAGAAAACATCCAGGCCAACTCCAGGCCTCTTAGGCGTACCTACATTGGTCAAAGCTCTTCTCACAACATTCCCATTGTAAGACAAGGCATTGTCAATGCTCGCACCGTCAATTCCAGCAGTCGGCCAACCGGTCTCTGTTACCATCACTGGAATTCCCTCAAATCCTTCCTTCTCCATGGCATACACAAATGCATCAATGGAAGCGTCGAACATGTTGTCATAAGCCAAGTTCTGGTCGTATTCTACATATGATGACCTAAATACAGCATGGTCCAAAGAAACATACTGTGGATTATTTATATAGGCAAAAAAAGGGTACACATTCACCATTAATGGTGAGCTGGTGTGACGTAAAAATTGTAAAAAAGGAAGAAGAAATGGTCTGATGGTAGAATTAAAAACTCCAGATGATGGAGGGTATGAATTTGAAAGTATGGTAGATGCATGGGAAGAAGAAAGCTTAATTGTGGTAGCTAGACCTAATGTTTGAAGAGCTTGGTAAAGGTTTGAAATAGCAGGAACTATATAAGGAGAGTAAAATGGATCTTTAAGGAAGATTTCATTGCCAACGGCTAAATATTTAACTTGATTAGGGGAAACATGGGCAAAAATATTGGTTTGAAGCCATTCCATGGAGATGGTCACAGGACTATTGGCTAGGGTAGGGAGGATTTCATTGGGAACTCCAACTAAGAGCTCTATTCCAGTGCCAGCAAATGGTTGCAATGCTTCTGGATCTGGATTGAATAGCCTAATTCTCGAAACGCCAATTGATTTAATGAGATTGATGGCTTCTGAAGGTGGTGGGAGGTTTGTACCAACACGGCCATAACAAACTCCTACTGCTGCTTCAACTGCAAGGAAATCACAAGGTTATGGAATTGTTGAAAACTAGTAAAAATAGAACTCCAAGCAAGTTAACAGGGTATTTCAAGCAAGTTCGATATGATAACCTAGAAATAGAGTAAATAACACGTACGGCTAGTAATAATATAACAAAAAATATTTACACTATCCGTATATATATAAAAGTTTTATCCTTGATAAAATATTCCATTGATTTTGGAAGAGAAGGAAATATCATAAGAACCTGCGGAATAACTCCGAAGAAGAATGTAGATACAAGATAGCAAGAAAAGGGCTTCTTGAATTATCATTCCCATTGGTGTACTTGACTGCTTTGCTTTCTTTTCTCTTTGCTTTCTTTCCAGTAAGAAGTTAGGAGTTATGGGGAATTCTACTGCATAAATATCATGAGGATAAACAAGGTTCCAATTACTCTCTTCTATATATCTATCACATTCACTACGATTCTTGGTTTCTTTTTGGTGTGGTTTGGTTGCATTCTAGGTTGATTTTGAAATATACTTCTCTTCCTTTTTGATAATATTCAAAGATACATGGTGCGTGTATATATCTTAGGTTTTAGTAAAGCAAAATTGATCATTGATTCTTTTGAGTTCAAAGATTATTAACTAGTATCTGCATCATGTTACATTCATACATTAGTAATTGATTAATCAAACAAAAGCTTTCACTTTGAAACAAAACAAAAAAAGTTTCTGGTCAGTCGACAAGTAAACTGATCAAGGGATAAGATATATGCTGAACGAATACTCTACCTAATAAAGTGTTAGGCATGAAACTTTAATGTACCTCCCAAGCCAATCCCGAAGACTTAGAACATGGCTCATATTAGAGCGAACCTCAGAGGTGAATCTCAGGTTAGCCTTCTAATTAAAAAATTGCCATTAAATATGTATATTCTTGACTCTTCAATTGGCATTCTTCTCATGCTTCTGTTTATATTTATATAATGAAGCAAATAAAAGGCCCTAGACCCTAGTCATGATCTTTTAGTGATGTTGACTATTATTGGTAAGGTTTTGGTAAAAGTATAAATTAACTCACTCCTCTTGTTACATACTCTGTTTTTCTTGAAGTCTGTATTCATTATAATGCATCTTCCGTAATTTTATACTCCCTGTATTTCAAAGCGAATGAACTAATTACTATTAATTTATCTGTATTTCGTGCGGTAGTAAAATATATTATTAAATTATATAAATTGAATATATTTTTTTGTCTTCAAACTTAGGTTAATATTTAGTTAAACTATATTTGAAAGACTAGTAAAGAAAGAGAAGAATTGAGAAATTTTCTCTCTGTTTGTATGTGTATATATCTAAAAACATGACTTCATTTTTTATATATTTGATTTGTGTTTCTAAGTATTTTCTTTTTTCCTCTCATTCAATTGTTTACCCTAAAAATTGAGTAACAATTAAACTTATATTGTGGTTTTAAAGATATGTAATTTAAAACAGTACCAATTGATAAACAACGAATTAAATAGATAAATTAGACAATAAAATAAATCAAACCGGTCTGCAAACAATGCCTCGACCTCGATTCGAGATAGTCTCGAGATTAGTTAATAAGAACAGTAGAGGATGCAACAGACAACGATGAACAGTAAGTAAAACAAAGAAAGCAGCGTATGTGTATATTCTTATCAGTGAATAATGATTCTCCATTTTACAAGTGAATGTGATCCCTCTTTATATAATAGAGGAATCCTAAATAAGGTACAACTCTAATAACGGAAGTAAATCCCATGATTGGCACTAATAACCTCTTTGATTTGATCTGTTCCAGATTTTCGCCGTGATCTTCGACCGGTTACTAATATCTCGCCATTCCGTTATTACAAATTACTCGAAGTCAGTCATGCTTGATCTCGATTATTGCCGGCCTCGATCTCAATGAACACTTCGATCTCCAAGCATGATATTCTATCTTCGAGCTCGAGCCCAGTCTATTATGAGGTTACCCTCGAGGCAACTCCCCTGCCAATGAAATTGGGTATGCCCGATTTCGACCGTATACAGATAGTCCCCTCGTTTTTTTCAATAGCACATATTTGATTTCATCATCTTCTAAATCGTTACCCTTTATGGCACATGTATATGAAGTAACATGCTCGTTGGGATCGGTGGTCCCATTATATTTAGGTATGTCTGGCATACGAAACTTTTTCGGAATAGGCTTCGGAGCCGCACTTGGAGGAAACGGCTTTTGTACAAACTTCTTCGAATCCATCCCTTTCAAGATTGGCGGTGCCCCCGGTATCTGATCAACTCGAGAGTTGTATGTCTTCACTTTTTTATCGTTGACTTCGATTCTATTCTCCCCTGATTCAATTCTTTTGGTAAGCTCCTCGAGCATTTTCATTACCGCAGGATCAGTCCCCGATTTGTTACCATTCGACCTTTCCGGTACTGGCTCGGTACGACGAGTAATTTCCGGCTCAACCCTATTCGGAGCTCTATGATGATTTTGTAATTAAGCAATAGCGGCTTGTTGAGCCTGAAGCATATCGAGTATTACTTGGAAACTGGCTCCTTCGTCTCCTCTGCCCTGTGTTCCTTGGCCACTAGATTGGCCTTCTCTGCGTACACTCCTATCGAGATCTGCGCCTAGGTCCGCATTTAGAGCGACGTGTGGACTGACATCGACTGGATTGGAAACCGGTGCTCCCTCGAGATTAGACTGTGGCCCCTCGACTCCTGGAGCAATCACATTTTTGTTTTCACCGTGGAATCCGAGGCCATTGTCACCGTGTGTGGATGCGTTTTGTGAGTTTGACATGTTTTAACCTGAAAATAAAGATACTTGACAAGAACAAGCGTAAAATAGTATGTTTTACCAGAATTAGTACTGAGCAATCACTATTATCCTTAGCCCCACGGTGGGCGCCAAATTGTTTACCTTAAAAATTGAGTAACAATTAAATTTATATTGTGGTTTTAAGGATATGTGATTTAAACCAGTACCAATTGATAAATAGCGAATTAAATAGATAAATTGGACAATAAAATAAATCAAACCGGTCTGCAAACAATGCCACAAACTCGATTCGAGATAGTCTCGAGGTTAGTTAATAAGAACAGTAGAGGATGGAATAAACAACGATGAATAGTAAGTAAAACAAAGAAAGCAGCGTATGTGTATATTCTTATCAGTGAATAATGATTCTCCATTTTACAAGTGAATGGGATCCCTCTTTATATAATAGAGTAATCCTAAATAAGGTACAATTATAATAATGGAAGTAGATCCCATGATTGGTACTAATAAACGCTTTGATTTGATCTGTTCCGGGATTTCCGCCGTGATCTTCGACCGGTTACTGATATCTCACCATTCCGTTATTACGCCTTACTCGAAGTCAGTCATGCTTGATCTCGATTGTTGTCGGCCTCGATCTCAACGAACACTTTGATCTCCAGGCGTGATTGCCCGATTTCGACCGTATACAGAAATTTAGTGCTTTTATCATTTTCTCTTTATTTTCGAAAAATATAATATATAGAAAAAAATTATGATACAGGAAAACGTAAACCGCTCCATCCGCCGGCAAATCCACGCAATCAAATTCTATATTTCTTTTCTACAAAAACGAATTTACAATCTGTGTTTCCTTTCAATTTCCCTTTCATTTACCTTTCTCTCTTTCTTTCCTCCTTTCTCACTTTCCTATAGATTATGACATCAAAATCACTAAAGAATTAATAAAAGAACATTGAATTCAACGGAAATGAAAGCGGAAAGAAGAGAAAGAGAGGGAGAGTAATTAAGAGGATAAAGGTAGTAACCCTTAGGTATTTAATAAAAGTTGACGGGAAACATATGATTAATCTTTAATAGAGTAATTATAGTAATAAACTTAAACATTAAATGTAGCTATTTTGATGTCTTCCTTTCATTAGGAAGAATAAAACTTGTTTTCCAAATTTTCTTCTATTCAAATAAAATAAAACAAGAAACAAAAAGTAAAGCTAAACAAACAAAGAAAAGATAAGTGACAACACAAGTTTAGTTTCTGCCCATTAAAATTATATTTTTGTTATACGTATTTCGTTTCCTACTGTTTTTCCTTTTGCAGTTTTTCCTTTTGCAGTTTTTCCTTTATTTGCTCTTAACTCCATTTAAAAAATAGTTCATATTATATCTCAGTGTGAAAGTTAAATGATAGTTATGGATGCCAATTATAGGTTTAAATTGGGACGAACATTTTTTTTACAAAAATATATATTACTTTTTTCAACAACCAAACACTAAAATCCGAGACGGATATACCAAATCGAGTGGGCAATCTTCTTCAAGATAGTCACAAGGGGAGGGAAATGAATTTCCAGCACTATGATACGCAGTTTCTATGAATAAGCATTTCAATTTTTTTCATCTTTCCGAAATCTAAAATAGTAGTGAAAATCAAACATACCAAAACAACGAGAGAACCAACTACAACTTAACATAATGAAGGCATACGTCTATGTACGACTATATTGTAGTAGTTTGTTTAATCGAGAAAAAAGATAAAATTACTGCAATAATCTAGAGTTGATCATACGGCTCTGCATTATTTTCTTCTGAAATTTGCTAAATTGATTCTTTACGTTCTTTCTCTGCTTCCTTCTTCATTTGTCCTCTATCTTTTACATTTCCCTGCGAGCACAAACTAAGAATACACTTATAATAAATAATTGCTTAATTTGAAAAGCTTATGTTACTACCCAAAACTACCAATTGAGCATGATGGCGCCTAACGCACTTGCTAGGCAAGTCGAACAATAACAAGATGAAATGAATAACAGAATTTAACAAAATGATACATGTCTAAAGCCTTCAAATATAACATAATAACGCCAAAACATGATAAAATCTTCCAGAACTGGTAATACAGAGTCATGAGCTCTAAAACAAAAATACAAGTCTGATAATCTAAATAACAAGACTGTCCGAAGTAAAGACAATAGTACAACTAGAAAGAGACACCAAGACTGCAATCGAGATGCAGCTCTACCCCGTCTCTCGAAATAACTCAGCAAGCAAACTCCACTACTGGTGACTCGGTCCAACACCTGGATCTGCACAATTAAGTGCAGAGTGCAGTATGAGTTCAACCAACCTCATATACTTAGCAAGTATCATAACTAACCTCAGCGAGATAATAGAAGAAAAAATTATAAATGATAATCGCTATAACCTGTACAACTCATAAATTCATCAAGTACAAAATAATAATGTGATCAAGTGATAAGGCACATAAAGAACAATCTTGGTGCACACAATTACTCAAGTACTCTGCTTAGTCAATAATCCAACCTATAAAGATGATATGCAAGTAAAGCAGGCAACTAATCATGAAAAATGCAAGTAAAGATGAAATGCAACAACCAAACAACACTGGCCAGATTTTTCTCAGAATTTTCATAACCGTCCCAAAGCACTTATCAGTTTCCTCAATGCGCGT